CCATTTTGAATTTGATGCCAACAACACGTTTCAAAAAAGTTGGGACAGGGGCATGTTTACCACTTTTCATCACCTCTTTCATCTCTTTTATATTTTTCAAAAAAAACAATAAAATTTCTCAGTTTCAACATTTGATTTTGTTTTGATTTACATTTTGCACAGCATCCCAACTTTTTTGGAAATGGGGTTGCAATTAGTCTGCATAATTCAGTGGTTGAGATGTAAACAATGTCATTCAGAGTGGTTTTGGTGTGAAATGGCTCATTGTAGAGAAACTTACTCTGATTTCTTTACAGTGGTGTTAACAGGAACCAGAGGTCACAATGTCTAGAACACAAATACAGCCATTTTATTTACAATCCAAAACCACCAGTTAACCTGAGAACTGGGAATGGAAACATCTGAACTAGACCACCAAGTTTCCTGAACAGCTCGAACACACTACACCCCCCTCTTTAATACACCTCAAACACCCACCATAGACACTCCTACTAGCTCTTAATCTACCCACCTCTGACCAGCAACCCCACTCAGACATTATCGGCTCTTAGGAAGTACTTCATATTGTTCTAGAACTGTGATTTTCTCCACATTTGTACAAATAACTGCACAATTATACCCGCTTTGGATAATATCAGCATATATTAGTCACTGTTTATACATAAATTACAGCTACATGTCCAATGTGGTGTGACTTTTTTGCACATTATTTTTATACGTGAATGGTTGATAAGACTTGCTATATGAAGCTGCTTCTGTGTTGGCTTATCTATTTAAACCCATCAGATCTTATTTTCAAAACTCAAATGTGTCTTCAGCTGTTTGTCTGAGAGGACAGCTTCCTACCTTCAACAGTTCAGCTCTTATTTCTGTTCCTCCAACAACACTGTATGAGCGCGGAGGCGGGGACTGCAGACCCCAACACAATCCTCTGCTTCTCCGCTTTAGTGCAGTTGTAGAAAGTTACAGTTACAGAATTAACGCCACCACCTGGCCTGAAACGGCTTCACGCTGGAACCACACGATCACGGAAACAGGAGGAACGGTCGTTATTTTAAATCCCTTTTTTTTTAAATCCCCTTATTCAGTCAAGCCCCTCCTTCAGCGCTCTGATTGGGTAACAGCAAGGGCTCAACTTCGGGCTACAAAATGGGGGGTTGCACAGGACATGTTTAGCTGCTATTAAACAGCTTTTGGAGAAAAATATAACGGTCTAATCTCACCACAAGAATTCCAACCTGAAAATGCCACCGTTTAATGGTTATAATACGGTTAGAGAAGAAAACTCTTCTCAAGTGACATAGGAGGATTTATTAACACTACTCAGAAGTCCAACTGTGGTCAGTTATTTCTCCTGAGTTTGATGGTGAGAAGTTGTAGATATTAGTGCTTTTATATATAAATTACAAAAAAAAAAAAATTATGTAGTACCTAGAACTACATAAAATCTCATTCATTTTTACAGCCCCATTTCCAAAAAAGTTGGGACACTGTGCAGAATGTAAATAAAAATAGAATGCAATGATATGCAAATCATGTAAACTTTATATTTAATTGAAAATAGTACAAAAACAACATATCAAATGTTGAAACTGAGAAATATGATTGTTTTTTTAATAATATATGCCCATTTTGAATTTGATGCCAACAACACGTTCCAATGGGATGGGGCATGTTTACCACTGTGTTTCAACACCTCTTATTTTGCCAACATGCTATAAGCATTTGGGACCTGAAGACACCAATTGCTGTAGTTTTGAAAGTGAAATGTTTTCCCATTTTTGTTTGATATAGGATTTCAGGTGTTCAACAGTTCAAGGTTCTCCTTTATCATAATTTTCATTTCATAATGCGCCAAATGTTTGCAATGGGTGACAGGTCTGGTCTGCAGACAGGCCAATTTAGCACCTGGACTCTTTAAATATGGAGCAATGCAGTTGTATTACATGCAGAACGTAGTTTGGCTTTGTCTTGCAGAAATAAGCAAGGCCTTCCCTGAAAAAGGCATCATCTGGATGGCAGCATATGTTGCCAAAACATGTATATATCATTCAGCATTAATGGTGCCTTCACAGATGTGCACGTCACCCATGCGCACAAATGCACTCCCATACCATCATGAATACTGGCTTTTGAACTGTGCCTGGAGGACACAGTGTCCATGTTTTCAAAAAGAATTTCAAATGTTAATTTGTCAGGCCTCAGAACACTTTTCCACTTCGCCTCAGTCCATTTTAAATGAGCTCAGGCCCAGAGAAGGTGGCAGCATTTCTGGGTCCTGTTTATATATGGTTTCTTCTTTACATGGTAGAGTTTTAACTTGCACTTGTGGATACAGCAACAAACTGTTTTCACAGGCAGTGGTTTTCAGAAATTTTTCTGAGCCCATGCAGTGATTTCCACTACAGAATCATGTCTGTTTTTAATACAGTGCCGTCTGAGGGCCCAAAGATGACGGCCAGCAAATACTGTTTTTTGGCCTTGTCCCTTGCATACAGAAATTTCTCCAGATTCTCTGAATCATTTAATGATATTTTGTACCATAGATGATGAAAAGCAAAAGTTCTTTGCTATTTTACATTTGCCCACGCAGTCTTTCACAGAGTGATGAACCCTCCCCATCTTTACTTCTGAAAGACTCGTCCTTTCTGGGATGCTCTTTTTATACCAATCATGTTACTGACCTGTTGCCAATTAACCACCAGGTGTTTTTTTACACAAAATTACTAGCCTTTTGTTGCCCCCGTCCCAACGTTTTTGAAATGTGTTCTTGGTATCAAATTCAAAATGGGCATATATTTTTCAAAAAACAATAAAACTTCTCAGTTTCAACATTTAATGTTGTGTTTGTACTATGTTCAATGAAATACAGGGTTTAAATGATTTGCACATAATTGCATTATGTTTTTATATACATTTTGCACAGCGTCCCGACTTTTTTGGAAATGGGGTTGTACTTACCTAAATCTAAATATAAAATTTATTAAAAACTCTCCATGTATGTCAACACTGCATAACAGAAATGAAGCAAGCACAATTAATGAAAAAGACTTACAATATGATTCAAAGCTCTCATGTCTCACTTCTTCTCCCACTCCCTCCTATAATAGAGCTATTCTCACCTCGCGTCTGTCAGTCTCAGCAGTGGTGCCTCCAGAAATTTTTCAGATTTTCACTGAAAATCTTTAGATGGCACACCAAAACCAAAAGCCATAACTGAATTTTAGGAATTCCATAATGCTGTTGTAGTATATACACTAGTTGAAGTCTATGTCAATAGGAGTTAAGGAATTGTATACTGATATACTTTGGTTTCTTATTGTACAGTTAATGTTACTAAATTATCTGATGTGCATTACGGGTGGCAAAAATGATGTTTGATTATTCATTCTTAAAAGCACATAGGTTCGACTCATTCCAATATCTGTGCATGATGTGTATAAGTCCAGATAGCAAGCTTATATAGGTCCACAATCAGTCGGCACCCTGCTGACTGTGGTCCACCTTTAGACCACCCAGATTACTGTCCTGCATACAAGCTTTAACTAGTTTGTAATCTCCTCTTATTTTGCCTTTTATTTTGGAAAATAAACTAAGACAAATATTACAAAAACTGAGAGAAACAAATAATGACCAGGCCTAATATAAAATGATTTTATGGAAAATGTCGCTGCTGACACTGTGCTGGATTAAAATTATATATATATAATATATATATATATATGTGTGTGTGTGTGTGTGTATGTATGTATGTATGTATACATATAAATGCTACACAGGGACATCGCAACATCAATTGTTCGGAGGAGACTGTGTGAGTCTCTTTATGGTCGAATTGCTGCAAAGAAGCCACTACTGAGGAAGGACAAAAATAAGAGACTTGATTGGGCCAAGAAACACAAGGAATGGACATTAGATCAGCGGAAATCTGTACTTTGGTCTGTTGAGTCAAAATGTAAGATTTTTGGTTCCGCCCACCATTTCTTTGTGAGACATAGAAAAGGTGAGCGGATGGTTTCTACATGTGTGCACCATTAAGCTTGGAGGAGGAGATGTGATGGTGTCAGGGTGTTTTGCTGGTGATGGTTGGTGATGTATTCAAAATTCAAGGAATTTTAACCAGCATGGCTACCCCAGCATTCTGCAGCCACATGCCATCCCATCTGGTTTGCACTTAGTGGGGTCATCATTTGTTTTTCAACAAAACAATGACCCCAAACACACCTCCAGGCTATGTAAGGGCTATTTGGCCAAGAAGGAGAGTGATGGAGTGCTGTGTCAGATGACCTGGCCTCCACAATCACCTGACCTAACTCCAGTTGAGATGGTTTGGATGAGTTGGACCGCAGAGGGAAGGAAAAGCAGCCAACAAGTACTCAGCACCTCTTGAAACTCCTTCAAGACTGTTGGAAAACCATTCGAAGTGACAACTTCATGAAGATGATTGAGAGAATGCAAAGAGTGGGCAAAGCTGTCATCAAAGTAAAATGTGGCTTCTTTGAAGAATCTAAAGTATAAAACATATTCTGGCTTGTTTAACACTTTTTTGTCTACTATTATTCCACATGTGTTCCTTCATGGTTTTGATGTCTTCAATATTAATCTTCAATGTAGAAAATAATAAAAATTAAGAAAAAAACACAGATTTGTCCAAACCTTTAACTGGTACTGTGTGTGTGTGTGTGTACATGTATATATGCTGCTGCCATCAAGTTCTAAATTAGTTAATATTTTTCATGAAATAGTAAAATGTCTCACTTTCAACATTTGCGTTCTATGTTCTATTGTGAATAAAATATGGGTGTATGAGATTTGCATACCATTACATAAATATGTACACACACAGACACATATACATATACAGTGCAGAAGACAGAAGCTGATTCCAGCCCATGGGGTTTTAAATGAATTGAATACTAATGAAGATTGTTATATTGCTTAAGCCTTCCCTATTTTTTGTGTGGATATGTTATATATATATAACTTCCACTTGAGGGCTCTATTACATTACCACAACTACTAACTTAAGTGCATAGAGGTCTTCATTGAGGGGAAAAAGATGTGTATGATAACTGAAACCAAGCTTGAAAAAAAGATTTGGGGGTTCCAACTTAGCTATGCTTTGAGTGTATATATGTTTAGCTTATATGCACAATCTATGTAAGTATATAAGCCAAAAAACATTATTCACCTTGTCATTTTATTCAGAGAACTTTTAGACAAAAACAGGTTTTCTAATGGTGAAGAAAAATAATAAATCACTATAAGTCATGATATAGCAAGGTCTTCTTTTCCGAATGAGCTACCAAAATTAACCCTTTTTTGCCAAATCTTCAGACCATTCAATGACGGTTAATAACACTTGAGCATGCCACCTATCTTGAACTGTACCTTTTTAAATCTGTAAGACAATGAGATCATTACTAAGCACCTCCCTGAACAATCTCTCTACCAGTTAATATGATCTCAACACTAAGGGGCTGAAAGGGGTGCTATGTCTGTTACTGCTGTGGCGTCAATAACAATTCTTTGATAGAGTTAGTGTTTAGTTTTAGTGTTATGTAATCATACATTTAGAGAGTGTTTTAGTTCGTATATCTCAAGTCCTGCCCCATATGTTTTATTCCAGAAATATGATTGTGGCAGTGATGTTCCAACAAGGCAGGTGTCATGCTATTACTGCATTGTATTGCAGTAGTCCTTGCAGCCGTTAAGATGACCACAGGCTACGGCGATATAAATACACTGTTGTGTACTGAAGCAGTACTGCAACTAATGAAGAAACTTCATTATTCAGTAACGTTGTCATATGGTGTTATGACTACCTGTTGGCCACTTAGCAAAATTCCATGGAGTTCCATTCACAACATAATGGAGGTTACGACAACGTACTGTGACAACGTAGTGGCAACGTTTGTAAATGCTGTCAGATAACATTGTCACAACTTTCTGAGGAATTACAGTTCAACTTTGTGACAATGTTGTGGGCACCAAAACAACAGGTTGTCACACCATTGTCAACATTGGTGCGTGGGCTGTAGGCCTGACTTGGTGTTCAGCACAGGAAATTATATTGCATTTTTTACTTCAGTGTAAAACAGTGTAAAACAAAAATAAATGTTCTCTTCAAAAATAATTATTTAGATTTTTTTAAATGTGGGCTGGATGCACCATTCCTTCCAAACTCCCAGCATGGTGTTAAAGTTACACTCATTACTGCTGACTTCCACCACTGCTCTTAGTACATTTGTGTGTCTTCACAGGGTTTGAATGCCTAAAACTCTTCCCACACTCTGTGCAGTAATACGACTTCTCTCCTGTGTGAATGCGCTGGTGTTGATGGAGAGAACTCTGCTGAGTAAAACTCTTCCCACATTCTAAGCAGTAATACGGCTTCTCTCCTGTGTGAATGCGCTGGTGTGTTTTGAGATTATTCTGTCGATTGAAACTCGTCCCACATTCTGAGCAGTGATATGGCTTCTCTCCTGTGTGAATGCGCTCGTGTTTTTCGAAAGTACTCTGTACAGTAAAACTCTTCCCACACTCCGAGCAGTGATACGGTTTCTCTCCTGTGTGAATGCGCTGGTGTTTTTGAAATGAACTCTGTTGATTAAAACTCTTCCCACACTCTGAGCAGTAATACGGCTTCTTTCCTGTGTGAATGCGTTGATGTGTTTTGAGATTACTCAGCAGAGTAAAACTCTTCCCACACTGTAAACAGTGATATGGCTTCTCTCCTGTGTGAATGAGCTGGTGTGTTTTGAGATGACTCTGTTGATTAAATCTCTTCCCACACTCTAAGCAATGATATGGCTTTTCTCCCGTGTGAATGCGCTGGTGTGCTTTCAGATTACTCTGTCGATTAAAACTCATTCCACACTCCAAGCAGTAGTGATTTCTCTTCTCACTTTGTTTTTGTGTTCGTCTACGAGAGGTCTTAGTGTGGAGGGTACCAGATGACGTTTGCAGGGTACCTGAGCGTTTTCTGGATGTCATATTCTTATATTTAACCTATTTCAACAGTTTAAAATTCCTCTTGCTGGAATGTCTTAATGTGTTTGTGGATGCCAATTTGAGCTGTGTAAGAAAGTGGACACTAGGAGCAGTAGAAGTCTTGACGCGGGATGTCATTCATTTCTGGAAAAAGAACATAAAAAAGAATTGTTGGGATTTATTTTCTTGTTTTCTATGTATTTTCCTTTGTTTTTCATTTTATTTATTGTTAAGACATTTTTATGTTTTATTTAAGATTGTTAAGAGTTCTTTCAATAAGCCAAATATATTCTGTTCCCATGGTTTGAACAATAACAGCAAACTGCCTTTTACAACACTTCCCAAGGACAGGAACAGAACATACAGTTTCCGACATCAACTCCGTTCTTTTTACAAGACTAATGTATTTACAATAGGATTCAAATCTCCCACTCTGTTCTTTATGACTTTCTTGGGGGCATGAAAGATTTACAGCATAAAGTTCTGGGTTCAAAAACTGTTCTTTAGACTGAGTTTGTAGCGCACTTTCTTCAAATGAAGTACATCTCTTTTGCAAACCCTGTTCTCCTGACTCTCTTCCATGGCAAAGACAAAGATTCATGACAAAACTTCCAAATCATGGGTGCCCTTACGTCAACTGGCAGAAAGGGTAAAGAAAGAATAAACTTCCATCTGATGTGGAAAATCCAAGCACCAAATTACCCAAGCTCATCTAATGCACAAATTTAAACTCACTTCAGGCTTTCATTTTTCTGACACTGTAGTTTGTTAAATAATAAAACTGTTCATTAAAGAATTAGATCAATACATTTTTCATACATAAAATACATATGTATCTATGTAATGATTTTCAGTTTCATGAACTCTCAGTTCTCTCTCAGTTCTTTTTCCCCAGCACAGTGAGTATCACTTTTTACACATCATCACTGTTTTCGTCTAGTTTATATTCCATTCCTAAGCCATGTGCTTGCGTATGTTGAATCTATGCCTTTGGTGTCAATGAGGTTGATGACTGTACCATGTTCAGAGTTGTTTAACTGTTTGTAGTTACTGTTTACTGTTTGGTGAGTTTTGGCTATATTTACATCTTAAGCACACCATGTTCATACAAAAGTCCTCCCTACATTTATCTCAAAATAATGACAATATTATTGCTAATGCAGAACTTTTAATGCATACTTCTTATAGTAACATGATGAGATGTAGTACAGTGGTTTTCAAACTAAAATATATCTACATTTTTATATTCTTGGTTTTAACTGGTGAGAGTTGACTGTGACACTGTGGTTTTCCACTCCGGTCCTGGAGCCACTGCTCCCCACAGTTTAAGGAATTCACTGTCCCCAACACACCTTATCTCACTCAACAGCTAATTATCGCTAATTTTAGCTCTTCAAACTAGACAAACTGTCTTAAACTGAAAAATGACCAGCATCCATCTCTTGACTGGAAACACATATAAAAAGTACATTCTATAGTGAAATTCAACTATTTTAATGGAAACCTGTTGTGATTAATTTTATCTGTTAGTCTAATAGACAACAAAACTGCTGTACTAGACAGATTCCTTGTATATGCAAACATACTTGGCCAGTACAGCCTGATTCATATTCTGATTAACCTGTTACCTGAAGTGTTGATCTGAAATAAATACAGATATGGCTTTACGTACTTACCTATTAGTAAAGTGTTATCCAATTCTCTGCTGAAAATCAGTTCCTGTATCTGAAAGTCTCAGTCTCAGTCTCTGAATCTGAGTTTCTGGAAATTTTAAATCATAAATCACCTGTTAGTCAATATAAATCCATTTTCATTTAGCTCTTAACACATTTTAGCTAACACAGGTCGTACCAGCATAAAACAACACACTGCACTGTGAACGTGTCGCCAATACACCTCTTGGTCTCTTCTGGGTGTTTTTCATTTACAGTCTTTCTTGGAAATTACTATTAATGATCAAAACTAGGTATATTATTGACACACCACACTCAAATGAGTGGATTTTATTTAGGGGTTTTATTTCTACAAAAGAACATTTTTCATTTAAGTCCAAACAATCTGTGTAGTACATAATTACAATTCTGACAAACACAATTTTATTACATAAAATATTAAAAATCAAATTGAATCTTGACCTAAGAATCAGAAATTGAGTCAAACCTGAAAACGTGTAGAATTATAGCCCTTGCGTGCATGATGCAAGCATTAACATATTAAGATTAACACATGAACACAAGGCACATATTCAGGCACTTCTCATTTTTGCTCTACTGAAAAATCTTATCAAGACACCACTGCATCAGACTGAATCGCATTTTACATGTTGAGTGTCATTACACGCCAGGTAAAGAATTAGAAAAAGATACATATGTAAAAAAAAAATGATCTACAATGATCAGCGTCAGTTTCAATGATGGTGGTCAGCACAAATAAACACAGTCAGGACATTATGTAATAACTGTGAGAGGTCTAGCCAAGCCAAGATTTCTCTGACCATTAAAAGACATTCCAATACATTAAATTCCATTACATCACAAATCCACTAAGTTACCCTGACGCAGAGATTTAAGGCTTATTATACTTTTAACACTAAAGTGTTAATTATTCTGTTTGCCAAGCAAACTCCAAACAAAGAACAGAAGCACTTTGGAACTAACTTGGCAAATAAATCAGAAACAAACTGCTCTTTGTTTGCCAAACTCTAATAGAAAAACATTATCAACCACATATTCTAGCATATCAGCTCACTTAACCAGGTTTGAATGAAGCTGCTAATATGTTGGCGAATCTATTTTAAACCATCAAATCTAATTTTCTAAACTCAAATGTGTCTCCAGCTGTTTGTCTCAGAGTGAGTGAAAAACAGTGCGTGTTTAAGTGTCGGACAGCTTCCTACCTTCAATAGCTCAGCTCTTGTTTCTGTTCCTCCAGCAACACTGTACGAGCGCGGAGGCGGGGACTGCTGAGCACAACACAACCTTCTGCTTCTCCGCTGTAGTGTCATAGTTATAGTCATAGTTACAGAATTAGCGCCACCACCTGGCCTGAAGCGGCTTCACGCTGGAACCACGAGATCACAGAAACAGGCGGAACGGTCGTTTTTTTAAACCCCACACGTGTTCAGTCAAGCCCCGCCTCCAGCGCTCTGATTGGGTAATCTTCGTTTTATGTAATATCGAGACACAGATTAGAAAACAATACTTCAAATTATAATGTGCAGAAAAACTTTCATGCAATAAGACAACCAGCAACGGACACACATTTTTCAACATTGTACTGTCTCATCTGGACAGGATGATGTGAAAACAGCTTATTCAGCCACACAGACAAGGCAGGTCAAACTGGACCTTCCGGGCCAACGTGCTGTGGATATTAGCATTTACCCTAATCTAATGCTGTGAATTCAGTTCATGAAGGCCTTGCTAATTAGCTGATGAGCTGAATCAGGTGTTTAACGAGGCAGTATGCTAAAGTCTGCAGTGGTTTGGCCCACGTAGACTGGATCCTGACACATGTACTGTAAAAGATGTTGTCATTAAGTTCTCTAAAGATCCAAAACCAGAACTGATCTGAATTATCCTCTTATACAGTTAATCAGTTGCTGATAGTCAGGGATGGGGGAGTAGCTAAGTAGCGCGCTACTTCTTGTAGCTAACTACAAATTTTTGTAGCTAATAGCTGTAGCCGCTACAGTTTTATGAAATGTAGCTAATAGCTTTAGCGCCTACAAATTTTGTGTAGCTATAGCAATAATTTTCGCTACAATTTCACTACAGGCTTCATGCAGCGCGCGAAAAATGTGAACCATAGAACACGGTCGGTACTGGGCTGGTGGCGACTGTGCAATCCTGACTGAGCCGCAGACAGTTTGAGCAAACGGTCACGCGCTGATCACCCCTTACTAGTAGGCTTAGCTCAGGGGGTCGGCAACTGAATTGATCAGAGATTCTGTCCTTTCAACAAAAATGAAACCACCTTAGGAGCAACTACCACGTTATATCCGTTTTACCATCTTGGCTGTAAATATGTCTCAGTATGTGCTGATGTCCTAGTACAGGCCAAAAATATAATATAAACGAAAACGCAGCCTTACTTTGCTCTGTTTTAACATTTAGTTCAGCTATAGCCTCTTTCTTGCTTCTCAGTCAGGAAACCATTCCGCGAAAACAGTTAGAGTTTCTTGTACAATGTTTCTCAATGTTTGACTTTTTTACGAGGCTGAAGTCAGCTTCTCGTTCGCCAGCTTCTTGTTCAAATTTTCCCGTTCCACCTTAAATGGTGCCTGAGGTGCTGGAATGTACTGCTGCGCAATTTAAGGTGGAAAAGGAAAATTTGAACGAGAAGCCGGATGAATGAGAAACTGACGGCTTTGCAACTTTTTAGTGTTTGACAGTTTCTCGTTGCAGATTAAACATATCAGGAGACCATCTGGAGTGATTATAAATGCAAATAATTCCATTCATCTCCAAATTATCGATGTTCATTTTAAATCTTTCTATTTGCCGTTTCGTTACGAGCTAGGCGAGACTGTTATGATCTGCGTTGCCGTGTGACCAGCAGTCCGCACGCTGATCTTCAGGGTTAAAGGGTGAATTAGCAGTTCTACATTAACTTCAGTGTTTAAGACCATTTGTTGTTAAAACAACTGTGTTAGAACTGTGTGTTATAACTATCAGCAGAGCTTTATTTTACTGCAAAGGAGGATTATGTTATTTTACCTAAAAATCTAGTTCTGCTGTGGAGCCACATGTTGCAAACCCCTGGCTTAGCTAAAGCAGAAAAAAACATTATAGACTAATAATAGACTGTTACTGACTGTACTGTGCAGAGCCAGGGTCACTGATGAGAATTTTGAGGCTAAAGTGTTGCCGAAGTTTCACAAATGACTCTGAATGTCATGTTTTTATATCATCCTTTCCAGACGGTACAATGTTGAAGAATTTGTATCTGTTGCTGGTTGTCTTACTGCATAAAGTTTTTTTCCACATTATAATTCAGACTACTTGTTTTCTAATTTGTGTCTCAATTTTGCATAAAACAAGGATCATATATGCTATCCACTCAAAACGCTGGAGGCGGGACTT